CTCAACCGTACACATCTGATATATAAAAAAACCCAACGTTTGCAAACCTCGCTATATTTATGAGCAGAAGTTAATGAGTTCGATTGAACACGCAGAACGGAAGCCAGTTACCGATATATCGAATCCGCCTACGACAGAAGGGCAATCAAGGTCAAAGTATAACACTAGATCATCGCAGAGAAGCGCAAAAATGCCCGAAACGGACAATGAGCAACCGAAAGGTCTAGCGGAGGCCACTGGAAGTCAAATAGGAAGGCAGAGTAAGGAGAAAATTGAGAGTACAGCAGAAAAGCAGAACAGAAAAAGTGCAGAAAAAATAGCGGAAAATAACCAAATGCTTCAGCAGTTAGTTCAATTGTTAACCCTAAAAATACAAGCTGACGAAGTAAGACAAAACAACACGAGAATAGTGGCGGAAGATTTTGCGAAGATTATTCCGGAGTTTGATGGTCATAACATGCCGGTAAAGCAATGGTTCAACAATTTCGAGATCAATGCGGCGGCATATGGTCTGGACACAAAACAAAAGTATGTCCAAGCACGCGCGAAAATGACCCGCACCGCTAAACTTTTTTTGGAAGGAACATTTGTGTATGAATACGCCGAACTTCGTAAGCTGTTGGAGGAAGAATTCGAACGTGAATTTATATGCAGCGCAGATATACACGAACAGCTGCGTGGACGGAAGAAACATGAAGACGAGAGTTTCCGTGAGTATATTCTGCAGATGAAGAAAATCGCATCTCTTGGCGTAGTTGATACTGCATCAGTAGTTCGTTACATTGTTGACGGACTAAACTTAAAAACTGATTTTAAGTACAAGCTGTATGGCTGCAAAACCTACAAAGAACTGCAAGAAAGTTATGATGTTTACGAACGTGTTGCTGAAAGCGGAACCGGTGAAAAAGCTGAGAAGCAGAAACAAGCATTTAAGAAAAGTTGGCAAATGCAGGCAAATAACGAAAGAAGGCAGCACTGCTATAATTGTGGATCGGTAGACCATTTACGCAAAGATTGCAAAGTGGGTACAAAATGTTTTCGCTGCAATCAGAGTGGCCATATGTCAAGAAGTTGTCCGAATTCAGCGGCTAATGTCAGAATAGTGCAAAACTCAAAACGCCTGAAGAAGATTAAAATTAACAACGTGGAGGTAAACTGCTTGGTTGACACGGGCGCAGACGTCTCGATCCTAAGACGACATAATTGCAGCAAAATGAACATAAGCGGCATACAGGGCAGCGCCTCCAACCTACGAGGGTTGGGTAATAAACTTATTCGACCTGTTGGCTGTTTTGTAGCAGACGTTGAAGTTGATGGTATGCAGACGTTACAAAAATTTGTTGTGGTGGCCGACAGAGATATTGAGTACGACGCATTATTGGGTTACGACTTTATTAGCAAATTTAATTTCATATCGACGTTGGGCGGATATAAGTTTTTGCCTCTGCTGGGGGAAGAAACTTTCGACAACACAAATCAGCTAAGTATATATAATGTAGTAGAAACATATAATGATTTTGATGTACCCCTACAGTACAAGCAAGATGTGCGCCTAATGATTGAGAGCTACCAACCGGCCGAAGTTACTGCCGAGTGCCCAGTAAAATTAAAGATAATACCCGATGGAAACATTGTACCATTTCGACATTCGCCAAGTCGCCTTCCTGTGACCGAAGCCGAAGCAGTAAAGCAGCAGATCGACGAGTGGCTGGACGCAGACATTGTACGGCAGTCCACCTCAAATTTCGCCAACCGTATCGTTGTGGTGAAGAAAAAAAGATGCCACCTATAGGATCTGCATTGATTTTCGCAAACTAAATACGATGGTACTGAAAGACTGTTTCCCGGTTCCGGTAATGGATGACGTGCTCGAAAAGCTACAGAAAGCGAAGTATTTCACTGTAATGGATTTGGAAAACGGCTTTTTCCACGTCCCAATTGAGGAAAGTAGCCGCAAATTTACCGCTTTTATTACGAAGGATGGACTTTTTGAGTTCAATCGCGCTCCGTTCGGGTTCTGCAACTCACCCGCCGTTTTCATACGTTTCATAAACCATGTGTTTCAAGGTCTCATGAACGAGGATATCCTGGATTTGTACATGGATGATATTATCATTCATGGAGTGACGGCGGACGAATGTCTTGCGAAGATGCGAAAAGTTTTCGACACAGCGGCAGCTAACGGCCTGAAAATAAAATGGAAGAAATGCCACTTTCTGCAGACGAAGATTCACTTCTTGGGCCACACGATTGAAAATGGTAAAATATGGCCTGGCAAGGAGAAAACAAGTGCCGTCAGCAAATTTCCAGTTCCTCGAAATGTTAAAGCCGTGCAGTCTTTCTTGGGACTGACGGGGTTTTTTCGCAAGTTTGTGAAGGAATACGCCCATATTTCCCGACCACTGACAAAGCTGCTGCGCAAAGATACAGATTTTCAAATGGGTGCAGCGGAGCTGAATGCATTTCAGCGGTTGAAAGATGTCTTAGTTCGAGAACCTGTGCTGAAAATATACGACAGATACGCTAATACTGAATTGCACACAGATGCGTCAAAAGACGGATTTGGTGCAGCGCTACTCCAATGGCAAGAGGGGCAGCTCCATCCCGTTTTCTTCTGGAGCAAAAAGTCAACTGAAGCAGAGGCACGTCAGCACAGCTATATCCTAGAAGCTAAAGCTGTTTTCTTGGCAGTGAAAAAATTCCGTCACTATCTGCTAGGAATTGCATTCAAGCTAGTAACAGACTGTGCTGCTTTTAAGCAGACGATGAGCAAAAGGGATGTCCCACGCGAGGTGGTACAATGGGTTATTTATTTGCAAGATTTTGAATTTGAAATCGAACATCGTGCGGGTGTGCGACTTAAACATGTTGACTGCCTTAGCCGTTACCCTCAGCAAATTATGCTGGCGTTGTCAGAAATTTCGGCGCGCATGAAAAAAGCGCAAGCAGATGATGCGATGATCAAAGCTGTAGCAGAGATTCTTGCCAGTCGGCCGTACGAGGGATATAAGTTGAAAGGAGGCATTGTATATAAAACCGTGAATGGAAATGATCTCCTAGTGGTCCCTAAAGCGATGGAAAAAGAAATAATTGTTGACGCACACAATGTGGGTCACTTTACGGGTCAGAAAACCATGCATGCAGTTCAGCAAAGCTTTTGGATACCACACTTGGAGAAGAAGGTTGCACAGGTCGTTAGCAATTGCGTTAAATGCATCATACATAATAAGAAAGTTGGCAGAAAGGAAGGTTATCTGCATTGCTTATACAAAGGGGATAAACCATTGAGTACACTGCACGTGGACCACCTCGGCCCCATGGATGCCACCATAAAACAATATAAATACATTTTCGCTATGGTGGATGCGTTTACGAAATATGTCTGGTTATATCCGACGAAAACGACTAGCAGTGACGAAGTGCTCAAGAAGTTACAAGATTGGTCTGCCATTTTTGGGCATCCAGATCGAATAATCAGTGATCGCGGTGCTGCATTCACATCGAATATGTTTGAAGAGTATATAAAAACCAATGGTGTCGAACATGTGTGGAGCACAACTGGAGTGCCTCGAGGGAACGGCCAAATAGAACGCGTCAATCGCTCAGTGCTGGCAATCATAGCAAAACTGTCTTCCGAGGAGTCGTCGAAATGGTTCAAAGTCGTACCGAAAGTGCAGGCAGCGATTAACGCTTATGTTCATTCGTCGACGAAAAGGTCTCCATTTGAGCTAATGTTCGGGGTACGGATGAAAACCGGGTGTGATAGCCGTATTATAGAAATGCTTGAACAGGAGATGTACGAGAATTTCGATGCTGAAAGGCAACGATTGCGGAAAGACGCAAAAGACGAGATTCAACGCG